ATTTGCATTTTCAAGTTTTTGTATTCTCGACAATGAAGTCCTAGAGGTCCACTAAGCACTTTTTTTGTAATGCTGGTGTTGTCTCAAATTATTTTAAAAAATTCAAATATGCAGTTTAGAGTACAAAATACTATCAAGCATGAAGAACAGCATGTCCTAAGTTACTATAATTAACTGGCTTTCTAACATCACTATAAATGGGTTAATAAAAATTCTGTTAGTTGGTCAAATTAAACTAAACTAAACGAAGAAACTGAGACAAAATTTTGAAAATCTGTTGGCTGAATAATCTAGTCTTAACAAAAAATCGAAATCAGAATCTTTTTTTTTGGTTATATCTCAGTAAAGCAGGAAGCTTTGAGACTAGAAATTTACTTTTAGTCTGAGAATACCTATAGTATAAGTGTGTAATTTGTGGGAAACTTAGAAGATCTGAAAGGGTTAGAAATAAAATCTGAAAAGGGGAATTTGAAAGGTAGAAGTGAAGATTAAGTATTTATTTAAATATTTCCTATAGAATTAAAACTTGTATAATATTAAAACTTGAATTATAAATGTTTTGATACCAAGTTTATTGACATACTTTGATAATAAAGTTTAGTTAAATTTTGAATGTAACTCTGTAAAAGGCCATGACATGTGCATTTCGACCTCTACCCATTTACAGTCTGAGTAATGTTAACTTCTAATAAGAGTAAGCTACCTACTTGGAGCAAATTAAAAATGAAGTTCAAGTTTAAAAATACCTTAGTTTCAAATCTTAGAACAGTTAACTTTGATGCAATGAAAAATAAATTATTTCGCATTAATTGGAATAGGCTATTGATTGGAAATACTTGTTTGCAGTGGAAAAGAGTTAGGAGTAAATTACTACAAATACAAAGCAACTTTGTTCAGGTTAATATACAAATGATAAATGCCAAACTTAAACACAAAGATCTTACAAAGGAAATCGAATGGAAAATTAAAGAAAAGCTTAACATATATAAACAAATTCAAACACACTGCTAGAATGGAAGCCAGGAGGCTAGTACAATAGAAGTGGTTAAAAAAGATATTAGGAAATTGAAAATGTTAAATACCAGTAAAAATTAAGCTAATTGGAAAAAAATGTTAGAATGTGAGTTGGACCTTTGAAAAATGAAGATAGAAGGTTTATTTTTATGATTACAAGCTCACTGATCATCCAAATGCTTCTTTTCTTTGTTTTACTAGAGATGATATATAGTGGAATCCACATCTAGAAGATTATGTGATATCCTTAAATGAAGTTTGGATTAAGCTGGAACGATGGAAAAATTGAAGGAAGATAAGTCATCTGGGCCAGATAATACTTTATCTAGGATAATAAAAAAACAACAACAAAAGATCATATTTATGGATGCTGACCTTAGAAATGAGTGAATCCATTAAAATTGATAAGTTGTTGACAGAATGAAGAGCAGCTAATATCAGATTTTTTTTGGATGGGGGTGAGATTGGCAATGTACAAGTAATTGGCACTCAGTTAGTCTTACTTCATTGATTTCTAGTCTATAATTACAGATGTATTATACTAGACAGATAAAAGAAAATAGTAAAGTTGGCTATGACAAGAACAGTCAAGGGTTCAGACAGTAGAAATCATCCATAGATCAAATGGTATCCCTTGAATATCATTGCTCTAAGCAAGTTTTGTAGCTACTAAAAATCACTTGATACAATGGATAGAACAGCCTCATGTAGTTGCTACAATAATGAGAAACACCAGAAATGTGCAAACACCATCCAGAGATTCTATGAAAATGTGACATGTCAATACATAAAAACTAACTAAGCCATATGTATTGGATTAGGTAATGAGAAAGACCAGAGAACAATCAAAGACGGTATACAACAGACTCACACAAAAGCTAGAAGACTTTGACAACAAACTAAACCAAGAATATTGAGAGCCAAACATGCCTTCACAACCTCAGAGCTGACCTGGGGAAACAGAAACCTTGCCTTTCAAACTAATGCAATAGATTTTGCATAACCAAACTTTCAGAAGTTTGAGAAAATAGTAACAGTAGAAAGATGTTAATATAGAAGGTGATTTGTTCAACAACTGAGACTAAACCCTGCATCAGGTGACGTTTAACAGTCGCTAATGAAAGCCATTAAAATGATAAACAATAACAATAATGTAAACATGTACGTAACATGGAACGTGGCATTTCATACTGTGATAGCCCAAAGCATTATTGTAGGAAAAAAGAGGATATGTTAAAAGTGCAAAGATAGTCTAATTTAAAGATAAATTGTTATTATATAAAATTCTCAATAAAATAATGAGTAAATTATAAAACAAATTAATGAACTATGTAGATATGGATAAAAAATGCATGAGAATAAAGAACTATTACAGAATATAAATTTTTCAATTAAGCCAGATGGAGAAAGGGTTCTTAAAGTGTAAATGAGGACTATTTTAAGTTGTGATAAATTGTATTTATAATCTCAAAAATGTTTTGGGACTGAAAGATCAAGATTTAAATTGATTATATATATATTTTATTTTCATGAAATCTATCACAAATTTCACAACTGGTCTCATCAATGCACAATATGATACATATATTGCAATAATACAGTAAATGACAGATCCTGATATGTAGTTAAAAGGCTTATTAATGTGGAAATGACTCTTAAGGCCAATAATTAAAGTTTAGCAGTCCATGTGCTGGCACATTAGTATTTCTGTGTGGGTCTTGTACTTTTTTTTTAAGTCAATGTCTGAATTAAAATTAAACCTAATTTTTGGTAGGGTTATTATTAGTTCTTTACATATTCAAATAGGAACACAAAATAATAAAATTCACAAGAATACAATGTTCCATAACTATTATGATTTCACTAGAATTATAACTAAGCAATCAGAGCATGCATCTAATTCCCTTATTTGGTTCAGGTAATCTCAGTAAGAGCAACTTTGAATCTGTAGGCTGAATAATCTAAAAGCTATTGTGAGAATGAGTTAACCTATTTTGTAATTCAGTATATTAAAATCTTCTCTTTCTATTAGCTATAAATAATCTGTTAGCCAGCGTCAGAGAAGCATGGTTTATGTTTCTGTAAATCCAGATGACTGGAGGCTAAGTTAAACTGTCTTAGAAAAAACAACACTAAGTTTGTAATAACTTGTGTTACAATGAAGAAGCTCAAGTATGAGTGGAAAAGATATCTAAATTGGGATTGAACAAGTAATGTGATATAGACAAGTGAAGATAGAGAATTTATTTACATATGTATCTTTTTGAAATTAAAGCTTGTGATATTAAAATTTAATTTATTAACTATGTTTTGATGCTAAGTTTACCAACATATATTGATAATAAAGGAGTTTGATAAAATTTTGTATATAACTATGTAAACAAATAAAATAAAAACAGGTCAAGGTGTACACACTTTTACTTACTAGTATCAATAGGGTTTATGGTAAGAACAGTAGGGCTCAGGGGACACAAGTATAAATTTTGGCAGGGAAAGAGTCAACCATATTGTTGGAGTGAATGTGCTTTGTAATAAACTATGAGAAAAACCTACACACTGGGTTAGTGAAGTGAAGAAAAAAATGTCATTGGACACTATTCAGTTCTTCGCATTATATAGCCACACAATAGCAGATATAATAAATAAACTTAGCATTCCGAGAATTGTTTAATCTTGAAGTTTAAGTTTAAGGGAGGCCCAGTTCAATCTACACATTGATCAAAGTTTAGATTGAACTGGACCTTTCTTGAACTTAGACTTCAAGATTAAACAATTCTTGGAACACTAAGTTTATTTATCATATCTACTATTGTGAGGGAAAGAGTAGTCTTCAGCTTAAATAGTCATTTTTTCTAACAGTGTGTTTGCTCTTTTGAAATGGTTGCCTTCAGATGTGGTGGATGCAGTAAATTTATAAGGAGGCTTGATAAATATTTCAGTGATAAAGTCTGGCTTTGAATGTCTTATTCCTATTTTAAAGTTTAGTGGATGGGATGCACTAGATGGATCAATAAGTCCCCTAATTCCGTAACACTCCTACTGACCTGCATATATGTGAAGCCTATGAGATAAAAGAAATTAAACAAGTTTTTGTTCTATATCGTAATCACTTTAGTTGTTTACTGTTAATCATCTATCACCATAACTGAGTCCTGCCAAGTTCCTTTCATACTAAACAATAAAGCAAAGACAAAAAATATGTGAATGGAGACACAATAACTTAGTTAAAGTACTGGTCAATAAAGAGAGTTGAATGGCTAAATTCCCATCCAGCCTCAGTTTTTACTTTCTAAAGCCACAGGAATGTGCTCTACTTTACAAATTTCTATAATAATAAATTAACTATTAATTCAAAAACCAGGTGTCTCAGGAAAAGGATTTCTGGACATGTTTCTTTCTCCAATTACAAAAACACACATGTATTCAGGCACACTCAATGCTAGTGTGATTCTGTTGTTCTAACAAATCAATCTTTTCTGTGTTCCTGATAAATGAAAGTCTTAATTAAGAGTTCAAGGATTTCTGGCCATTATGGTCTATAAACTAGAACTGAACTTTATAGATAGTTCCTTTAATCTTCTTCTCAGCCTTTAATATGTAGTTCATTTCCCTACTCCTTGTTTTTGCTAAATGATAAAAGAATTTATGCTTTACAGTTTGTTTGTTAAATCTCAAGTCCTGCCAAATTTCATCCTTTGTAACTAGTAGGGATCTTGTAATTCTTTTTTTATTATCTCCTTATTGTTTTTATTTTATTTCTATTATAAAACAAGTTATAAATTATTTAATTATTTTTCTGAAAGAGCAATGGGTAGATTAAAGGCAAGACTTAAATCAACCAAGCCTTTATCAAAATTTCTAAAAAAATTACTATACTGAGAAATAAACTTGAATATGGATACAAATGACAGTTAACTTATTTTAGTTCTGAAAAGCAAGTCACACTAGAGGGTATAATACTCCTAATGTTTCCTCTCTCAACTTACCCGAGGTACTTGTCTTCCTGATTTCTTCATCTCTTCTCTATACCACTGAGTGAAGTTGATGTATGCAGTGGTGGCACGTTTTGGAGCAGGAATGCCATCTTTATTCACTTTTGGCTTCTTCTTCATCTTTCCACCACCACCTCTACCAGCTGGATAAGATGCCATCAGCGGTGTTCCTTGAGGGAAGTGACGAGGAGCACTGTTGTTTGAAAAAGGTGATCCCTGTAACCCTGCACCTATTAACTGATTAGCAGTATTCATTGTTAAATTCAGCCCTGCTGGTAACATTGCAAGTTGAGCCATTGAAGGATGGATACTAGATGAGTTTCCATCTGGTGACATACCTTGGTGCTGTGCCATTCCCTGGTAATCGTATTCTGCTATAGAAGAATGGAGCATAACATTACTTAAATAGTCTGTTCCAAGCAACTTTTGATCAGTCCAACATAAAACTGGTATACATACACATGTAAATATCTATATAAACAGCAAATAGAACAAATACAAGCAGTCAAAAAACTGTATCAAAAAATGCATCTTAGGGTGACAACAGTACACAAGTTTTTGAAGAAATAAAATACAGAACTGTCTATACAAAAATAAATCATTTGGTTTCTTAGTATGATAAAGTACCTTTTCTAGAAACCTTCAACTGCAAATATCACTTAAATTGTTTTGTAAACTATCAAGAAAATTGTGGTCACTAAGCTGCATGCTCATCACATGATATAAAAATCTGCCTCTAGCTTATTGGTTCACCAGTTCATTTGAGTTTAAGTAAAATAAATAATATTAATAATAAACAATTTGCCCTTTTTAATTGGGACATTCTAGCTCCACAACAACTTCAAGCAGGGGGTTGTCTAAATGGGAATCCAAGAAACAGTCATGGTGGACAGTTGCTATACAGTCACCATTGTGATAATTTGTTGCCACAAGATTTCAGATCTCTATCTTGTGGAGTAAACATCTAATGCCACTGGGATCTGTGGAAATTAGCCTAGACAGAAAATATAGATTAAGAAGAAGGTGAGTCGGAAAAAGGCTGTTATAAAGACCTTGGTGGACAATCACCTGTCACAGCTGGTTCCTACAACAAAGAAAGTGAGAAAACTGGTTGGGCATTCATAATCTCACATAAAGCAACAACATTCCAGTGGGGCATTCAAGCTTCCAACAAGGATGGTGCTGGAAGACATAAAGCAAGCTATCCTTTGGATTGCTAAAATCAGTGACAAAACAACCAACGTATTTGCAACTGATTCACAGGCAGTACTGCATAAAATTCACAGTGGTGATCCCCAGATAGATGCCAAAAAGCAACTGCATGGTAAGACTTGTGTAAGTATATGTGCCAGACCATACAGAGATAAAGTTAAATGATAAAACTGACAAGAAGCCCCTTTATCTAGTCCACCTCAACTAGCAAGATATAGACCTCCTCTGCACTAGTAAGGTAAAAAATGGCAAAGATGCAAGGTCTATATTGATATTATGAAAGAATAATACTATTGGAAAATAAGTACTGTATGATGTAGATATGGAAAGCAAAAGTTGGGGAATCAATAAGACAGCAGAGAACCAGTAGGCTACTGCCAATCAGATAAGAAACTCTCTTCTACCTTTTTGTGAGGTTGTCAGTTTCCACACCAGGGGTCTACTCCTAGCAATGCAACACATAAGATTGCTATCTGGTACTCAACACACAAAGGTTAATAACTAAATGCTCTTAAATACAACAAGTGTTGTTGGAAATTAGCTCCGGATTTATTGCTATTTATGTTGATTTTAAAGTTTTCACACATTTAACAGAATTATAGCTAGAATGAGAAAAATTCATAGAAAAACACTTACAACTGTATCTACTTCAAAAGTAAAAGATTCAGTTAACATAAAGAAAGCACTAAAACAACATGAAAAAAACACCACAAAAGAGTTACAACTTAAAAGAAAGTTACTTCTTAAAATAAAAATTCCTTGTCAAAAATTCAAATCCTAATAGAAAATATCAAAGCAGAACTGACTTTTTTTTTTTATGGTGAAAAAATTTTATTACTTATAATTTATAAACAACTTAAGAAATCCTATAGTTTTAGCCAAAACATATCTGAATGTTTTTTAATGGTTTACAACAAGCTACAACATATTTTCTGTCATCTTTATTAAACCTTTTTGCTAATACTTCTATTATTAAATCATTCAGAAACCAAAAATGTCATCTATACACAATCTCAGACATTTTAAACATTGACTTTAAGAGAGAAAGAAGAGAGAGCAAAATCTATTATATACACATTTAGTTTGTTGTGATTATTAGAGTATGCATTTATATTTTGGGCATACTAAAACTTGCGTTATCAAAATGGCATTTTATATAGGTTAAATATACTTGTTTAAAGAACTATAAAATAACATATTAATACATTTGAAAATTTACATTTGTTATTTCCTTGTGTGTCAAGAAGCAGAAGCATGTGCTACAGTGATTGTTTATCATTCATATTTGCTGAGTCAGCAATACTTATGCAGACAGCACTGTGATACTTAGATGAATAATAATTCTCTTGATTGCTTAAGAAGCCTACATCCATGTTTTTTTTTTGTATAAAACTTACTTTATGCTAGTTTTTATTAAAATATACAAATATATATGGGCATTTGCAGGATGGGGCAAGAGAACACTTGCTCCCTACCTGAAATTTCAGAAGAAAAGCTATTTGAATAATTTATTACAAATGTATTAGAAAACAATACTATTTGAATATAAATGATGAAATTAGATGTACATAAATAAACCATAATCAGCTAGAAAATCACATTCAAACTTCAAGGCAATGGCAGGCCCCCACCTGGAATACATTCTGCAGACACCCATGAATATACAAACATATGTACTTTATGGCTTCCTTGGTAGGCTTTTCTCCTACCTACATTTTCTCATATGTTGGTTAGTGTGGTCAAACATGACAATAGGAATCAAACTTTGTATATCTTGTTTTGTACAATACTAAAATTCTTTGTAAGGGTTAAAGACACTTTCATGGCTATTTTGCTAAGAGTTTCACAATTGTATCTTATAAGGTGAAATATAAAAACTTACACAAAAATATTTAAGTTTAAGTACCAGTGTAAGTTATAGCATCAGTTACATTTGCTAATATTCAAGTTTGCTCATTATTTGGCCTTTTGTTACAATATGTACAGTATACCCAACACACATCTACCCATTAAAGATTAATTACTAGTATTACGACTTGTAAGTCATACAATTAGGTTATTCCAAGACAAGAATCAAACATAAGTTACACTGTTACTGTTAGTAACTGCATCGATAGTCTCACTAATAGTAATAATGAATGGCTAGGCATAGTACTCCTTTAGTTTTGACAGTGCAAGTTGTAACGTTTTGCTTTAAGAAATTCTAATGAGATTAAATATAATTTACACAGTATATTTCCCCTAAAACAAGTTTCTGGGATTATAACTACACCGATTGGATTTGGCTAAATTAAGTTTCAAATTTTCACGCTTTGATCAAATCTAATATACTTTCATGAACGGTCCTTGCAGCCGACATTTGCCGAATTCCAACTAATCTTCTGATTGGTCTAGAGCGCCATACTTATTGTTACGACTACGATAACTGGTCCGGATTTAATAGGCCTGTTCTAACCTTACATTTGGCTTCCTTTCTTTGCCTGCTTTATCTTTGGGGGAGCAATGGCAGATCCCCCATTTTATGAGTACGAATTCACACACCATGTTTACTTAAAAGAAAAACGACAATACAGCCATTTATATCAACGGATTACTTTATTATCATCCAAGAATACTGCAACAGCCTCAAAAACATTATAATTATTTATTTTGTTCAGAAAATTACTGTTGAAGAAGAGAAACTCGAGGAATGGCGGGAAAGCATGGCAGCTTTGAACCAAAATGTTTTATAAATGACTTAAAACGTGATTACATTTTCAGAGAAAACATAATTATATGAAATAACTACGTAAAATGCTTGTTTACGAAGCTTTGCAATTTTTTTTTATATTTCACTTACCCATAGTCCTTATAAATATGATAATTTGCAAAACAAATTATTGGTCTTCACAGTCTCACAGACGCCGAACTTCATAAATCTATTGTGTAGGTTGCCTACGCAAGCGCTCTAACGTCACATAGACCCTTGTTACGGTTTTGCCACCTAGTGGTAATTAAATAAGGCAGGTTTTAAATTCATTGTTATTTACGGACAATACGGAACCAACGTTTACTTGTTTTGCTAATATGATGATTTTTGCAAATGACGCAATTAGACTTAAACATTTCCTTTCTATTTTTAACCAGCCATATGTAAACATGATATATCACAGAAAATTATTACGTAGCTTGCTACAATCATCGTTAAAATCAGATGCTGATGTGCCTTTCTATTTTAATTTACTCACTGGAAATTAGTTGCAATATTTACTTTGCTCTGAATATACAACTTCAATGAGAGAATTTGACATCAATAGTAATTTACGGCGGCGTTTGTTCCTGCAGCTATTCGTCCAGTTGAAATGTTTAACGGATTAACCTTTTCGGGGAGTCATCTGTCTAATATATACGTTTTTAAAAGCTATACCTCTTTTGTACCTATTCATATTCCTGGAACTTCAGCTAGAGGACGAAAGGCTTTAATGTAAATCTCACTTTAACAATAAATAATCCAATGAAGCTTTTTTCTTTGTTGCATGATCTTTAAATCATCCGACTTTGTCGAGTGCAGCACGTGTTATTTTCCAATCTCTGCAAATTAATCTAACTGTAGAATATATTGAAATGTTTAAGCTAGTCTCCTGGAGAACTGCAATTAGTATTTTAAATTTTATATCATTTTGACTTAAACACACTGTTGTAGGGCATATCCCCCCCTTTTTCTATAGACATTTGTACTGTTCTTATTATAAGAAATTCTGAATAAAAGTAAAGAATATAATATGTTAACCACAGTATACCTGCTATATCCGGTGTCGACGAAGCCTTTCATCCAATACCAGGGCTGATCAGGCTGTCTCAGATATGATGGACATCGTGGCTGAGACGCTATTTTTTTTTTATCAAATATAAGAACTTACGAGTGAAAGAAAAGAACGTAATAAACTAAATTCCCTAAAAAATGAATGAATTAATATAGGTTCTTTCTTTGATAATATCACAGTATCTGTTTGACATTTCAGAAAAGTATCTACTTGAATCGACAAATCCTCAGCCATAGCTTTCTTAGCACCGGCAATAAACCTATAACTTTTGTTTTATGCATTTTGGGGATCAAAATTAATTTAGGTATTATATCATAAGGCACACCAAAGTATAGAAGTGTTATCTATTTCTGTATATT